CTCCAACCTGGGCGACAGAGCGAGACTCCGTCTCAAAAAAAAAAAAAAAAAGTGGCCTTCAATTTTTACAGGTTTAGAGACATAGTTTTATTCACTCAACCAAAATATAACCATATTCCAAAGGTGGTGCTATGCAAAACCTCAGGACACTGATAAACCATGTTGCTGATTTATTAGCTTACAAGGAAGCTATAGGTGGGTCTAGCAGAATGAGGAAGGCTGGACATTCAGAGGGGGCTCCTCCTGCTGGGGAAAGTACATGCCAAGGCCGATGGGAAGGTTGCCTAGAGACCAATATGTGATTCATTAACTGGGTTAGGCTGAATAATCCTCTACACAAAAGGTATTTCTGATTACACAAGAAAAAAGAAGAGGATGTAACAAGTATTGATCACTTATGCATTGGACCAGGTGTTTTCACCTTGCCTACTTATCAGGGTGTTCAGGATTGAATGTGTTATCCACCTATTTAAGAGAGGAAACTAAACCCCAGAGGGATTGTCACTTGCCCAGAGTTGCCCAGATAACTGAGGTAAAGGTTCAATTTCAGCTCTGACTGACTTCAACCAATAGCTCCAGAGGCCTCCTAGCTATTAAAGTGGAATGCAGGCTAGGCACGGTGGCTCACGCCCATAACCCCAACAATTTGGGAGGCCAAGGCAGGCGGATCACCTGAGGTCAGGAGTTCAAGACCAGCCTGTCCAACATGGGCAAAACCCCATCTCTACTAAAAAATAAAAAATAAAAATAAAAATAAAATTAGCCAGGTGTGGTAGTAGGCACCTGTAATCCCAGCTACTCGGGAAGCTGAGGCTGGAAAATCGCTTGAACCTGGAAGGTGGAGGTTGCAGTGAGCTGAGATCACGCCATTGCACTCCAGCCTGGGCAACAAGAGCAAAACTCCATCTCAAAAAAAAAAAAAAATAGAATGCAGGTAGCCCTGACACAGCCTGTGTTCTCTCCACTGCACTCTGCTGCGATGACCATCCAGCTGCCTCTTTCCTCTTAGACATGGACTCATTCTGCTTGACATGATTTCTCTGGCCCCACTTCTGAGTTTCACATAGGTCCCAGCTTTTATTAACTCATGATTATTTACATAAATTAGAATGCAGCTTACTCAAATAGGACTTTTTTCCAGTTATATTTTTTGTTCTAAAGATAACATGTGGCCTTCTGAACAGCTTCACTATTTCAAGTTCTTGTCAGTAACATGTTTACAAACCATCTATGGAGATGGCCATCTTCTGGTGTGTTGTTTCTATCTTAAAGGACGGTCTTTGGTATCCCTCATCCTTTTGGTGTCCCTTATCCTTGGAATGTCCTAACTGTTGTAAAAACTGACCATATTGTTAATGCTTTCAGAATAGCACTGAATTTTACCATTTTGTTTTGGGTGTCTATGTGGAGAAACAATTTAGAAATTCATTTTTTGTGGATTCTTTAAAACTCACGGAGGCCGGGTGTGGTGGCTCATGCCTGTAATCCTGGCACTTTGGGAGGCCAAAGCAGGTGGATCACTTGAGGTCAGGAGTTCAAGACCAGCCTGGCCAATATGGTGAAACCCCTTCTCTACTAAAAATACAAAAATTAGCCGGGCATGGTGGCATGCGCCTGTAGTTCCAGCTACTGGGGAGGCTGAGGCAGGAGAAGAATTGCTTGAACTTGGGAGGTGGAAGTTGCAGTGAGCTGAGATCACGCCACTGCACTCCAGTCTGGATGACAAAGCAAGACTCCGTCTCAAAAAAAAAAGAAAAAGAAAAAACCAAAAACCTCATAGAAATACTCATCTTAGAGCTGGAAATTTCTGTTACTTGCAACTCTCCTAACTATGTTCATTGCAGTGATCTATTCCCCTACTAGACTATAAACTTTGTGAGGGCAGGAGCCCTTTCTGCCTCATTACTGTTGTATATGTCCCATGCATGTGCCTGAACATAACACAGACTAGCTTCTCATTATGTAAACATTTATCATATGGATAAAGTGGACTCTCCAAATAGTAAAGCGACAGTTGAGAATTAACAAGTCACAAATCTGCATAGTTCTTTTCCACATAAAAGTGCTGTGGCTCTAAGACCTAATGGGGCTCCTTCTGTGCTACCACAAAGGCTTTCTAAATTGGTGGGAAAATACAATAATCATTGTCATCACATTAACCCACAAGTTATTGGGAATACTTACAAAATAAAATTATAAACACTAAATCTCAAAACACTTTCTCACACATTTCAAAACTTACAAATAGGAATACACACAAAATGGAACCAGAGTCCCAACAAAAACACATTATATAGGAAGTTATGTGATAAGGGTAGCATTTCAAATCAGTAGATAAAAGAATAATGACTCAATATATGATATTTAGATAATTAACTATAAAAAATTAGACTATTATGCCACACAGAAAAATAAATTCAAAATAGAACAAATATGTATGTATTTGCTCCATCATAGTATTAGAAAAACACACGGGAAAATATTTTGAATAATTTCTAGTACAGGACAGATGTTACCTACTGCCAGGCACCATTTATTGCATGGGAACACAAGAAGTACACACAGCAGCTAGTAAATATGTTGCGTAAGCCCCTAGAAAGAACTCCCTGAAGAGGAGCCAAATACATTCTCAAAAAAAGATTCTATCACAATTCACAATCCACACAAATATATAAATATGCTAACATTTGGCAGAGATCAGAGCCAAAAAAAAAATTCTTAATAAGATTAATAAGCTGAACATATTAAAAAAATAAAACTCTGTACTGCAAAAGACATAGAATAACAAAAGATAAAAGAGTGGATAAAATGTTGACAAGACATAGGACACATTGTCACTTATCATTATGGTTCAAAATCTATACATCAAAAAGGAAAAGATACAATAGAAAAGCAGGCAAAGGACATAAGTCGGCAAGTGATTGTGAAAAATGCTCTAGTTCACCCAGTTTTTAAATGAAATTTTAAATGAGATGCTTTAACCAATCAAAATTGATCGTTCATTTGACTGGTGAGACTGTAGGAAATCAGGCCCTCTCGGGCTCTGCTATACGACATTGCCAGATAGCAATCTGTCCTACATTTCGGTGAGCGATTGGCTTGGAAATTCAAGTCACAGGAAGTGAGCCTACAGAAATACTTGCACCTAAAGGCAAAAGTGTTTGTAGCACTGAATACTGTTAAGCTGAAAGCTATCTAAGTGTCTGTGAATAAGGAGTGGTTAAATAAATTACAGTCCTTCCGTGCAATGGAATACTTCCATATCACTACTATTCTAAAGAATGAGGTAGGTCAACACAGACTGACACTCAAAGATGTTCCATAATGTGTCATCAAGTGACTTACAAAACAATATATGGAATGATCGCAATGTTTTGAAAATGATACAGTTTATACACAGCTTAGAAGGATACACGTGTCTGTCTTTTTTTTTTTTTTTTTTTTTTTTTTTGAGTCAGAGTCTTACTCTGTCACCCAGGCTGGAGCACAGTGGCATGATCTCAGCTTACTGCAACCTCTGCCTCCTGGGTTCAAGCGATTCTCCTGCCACAGCCTCCCAAGTAGCTGGGATTACAGGTGCACACCACCATGCCTGGCTAATTTTTGTATTTTTAGTAGAGATCGGGTTTCACCATGTTCGCCAGGCTGGTCTTGAACTCCTGACCTCAGGTGATCTGCCCACCTCAGCCTCCCAAAGTGCTGGAATTTACAGGTGTGAGCCACTGTGCTCAGCCACATGTGTCCATCGTTAGAGAGTGAAAATACAGGGCATTTCAATCTTAACCTTATGTGTGCTTTAAATTTTTTCCAAGCTTGTATTACACCCATAATCAAAAAAGATTTTCAATTTCTTAAAAATAATAATCATTTGAGAAAAGTGCCCCATTTATTACAAGAGCTATTTGTTCTCCTCTCAGTGCACCTGAGGACCTGCCCAGAGTCAAGAAGTCACGCAGGTCTGCGTCACCCTGCAGGATGAGGTGCCATCTCCTCAGAGTCCTAATTCTTGTTCAATTAAAATCCACAACATGGCTGGGCGCGGTGGCTCACGCCTGTAATCCCAGCACTTTGGGAGGCTGAGGCAGGCAGATCACCTGAGACCAGGAGTCTGAAACCAGCCTGGCCAACGTGGTGAAACACCATCTCTACTAAAATACAAAAAATTAGCTGGGCGTGGTGGCACACACCTGTAGTCCCAGCTACTCAGGAGGCTGAGGCAGGGGAATCGCTT